TGGGAAAATGCAATAATGCATCTTAATTTTTATTTCCTTCAAAACTAGGATATGAAGAGTACATTACTATGGGCGTTGATCCTAAGAAGCTTGTGATGGGGGTCCCCTGGTACGGCTATGACTACATCTGTCAAAATCTAGCTAAGGTAAGATGAAGATTGTTCATTTGCAGTTGTACTGTTGATTTTTTTCTTTGGAAAAAGCTAGCTAGATTTTGGTGATCCTGCTTTTGTATTAAGAAATATGTGGTCTGATGGATACGACTGTAAAGCTGAGGCTCAAGACAGAGACTTGTGCTCAGCTAACAACTGATGAGCACTGTGTTACCAAACAAGGCATTTTATCTCTCCCTAGGCAACCTGAACCCTGTGATACCCAAGCACCATGTTTGACTAAGGAGCTATAGATGTTACCCGTACGAGAAGAGGTGATGTCCAAAGGCACTACAACCCTTGTATCTGCCTTCTCAACACAGTCACTAAGCTCACTGCTTAAACACTAGGTGCAACAAACCATAGCAAACCTATGACTCCTAAAGTCTAGCAGCTTATGGATAAATCATGGAGTCTCAAACAACATTGTATTTATGAAAAATGTAAGAGTGGATGAAAAGTGGAAGGGATAAGACAACTGTATCAGTTGAATGATGTCCATCCCATCCTGTATTACTACAGAGTAAACAAAATTTAACTGTTTTAATTTATTTCTGGCTACAAATAGTATGTCTGCCCCAGATACTGGAAGATTTGGTATTTTTGAGACCCCCAGTGCTTTTTGTGACTTTGCTGTTGGCTGTACTGCTACTTTGGAGTTCAACAAATCTATGTAACATGAAAGTCATGCCTTCTGCTTTTTTTTCAGGATCACGTTTGTTCCCTTTCCAAAGTACCTTTCCGTGGGGCTCCTTGCAGTGATGCTGCAGGGCATCAGGTCCCCTACGGAGCAATAATGAAGCAGGTGAACAGTTCTTTTTCAGGTGTGCTGTGGGATGAGGTACAGAAATCTCCATTTTATGAATACAAGGTAAGTGTCTCTTTATAAGACACAATGTTGTGGAGTGAACGTTCATGAACCATAGTTCTTTGATTATAAAGTTTTCGGGGTTAGATTCTTCCATATGTGTTTCCTACTTTTTTTTTTGTGTAGTAAAGGATGGCTGGATTTCTGTATCTTGAATTTCTAGTCTGAAAGAAGGGTGCAGTGACTGAAGGCTGCAGGGGTAACAACGATTTTTATTTGCAGTTTTCTCAAGAGATTGTATCATGCCAAAAAGGACTTTTTGGCACAAAGAAGTCAATCCTTCACTGTTACAGTTACTTTTACGAGTTGGTGACTGATTTAAATGAAAACAGATTCTGAGATGCTCTTAAGTTTTTCTAAGCCAGTGGCTTACATGCACGTTCTCTTCTGTGTTTGGTTTCTGTATTAGAGATAGTGAAAGAGTCCGTGAATGATTGTGCTTAGATGAGCAGCACAGTGTACGCATTTTGTCTCGTTTCTTCAGACATTATTTTAAGTTTCACATGTAGATGATTAACAGGTGTTGTAAGCAAGGTCAAAGCAGCATAACTTTGAGAAAATTTTACAACCTCCTCTAAAACTGTTTATTGTTGAAAAAAGCATTTAACTGAGTTCACCTGTTATCTCAGATACACTGACTGTTTAACTATTTTATTTTTAAATTATTAAAATACAAATTAGCTAAAGTCTTTTCATCTAACTTCAGTTAAAATGTATTACTGTTTTATAACTTACTTAGATTCTAGAAGTAAAAAAATAGCCAACTATCTGAATTGAAAATTTTGTCTTGTGTGAAAAAATAATTTCTATATCAAGAAAGTATCATGTAAATCTACATAGTTTGTATATGAGAGTTTTTAATTGTACTTTTCACTGCATTCAACAGAAAATGTATCAAAACTCGATGAATGTCAATGTATCATGTTTAGATAGATAGGTAGGTACTGACGCTAGTTTAAATGTTTTTCTAGGATTCTCGTGGTCACTTCCACCAAGTATGGTATGATGACCCTCACAGCATCTCTCTAAAAGCAGCATATGTGAAGAATCGAGGTTTAAGGGGCATTGGCATGTGGAATGGAAATAGTCTTGACTATTCCAGGGAAGCTGTAGCAGAACAACAAACTGAAGCAATGTGGCAAGCCCTGACACCGTAAGAACTATGTGAATCCTTGATTTAGAATGATGAAAACTGGTATTTTTTTTTTAATTATGGCTTATACTATCATAGATTTTGACTTTATATAAATATACTGTGATTACAAAAACTTTAGGAACTAGCCAAATTTATCTCATTATTTTGTATGCAAAGCCATATTGTCATTCTTCAGAAAGTTCCGATGTTGCTTTAGTAGTGGTTTGGGTTTTTTTTAAAAAACTGATCATCTTTTTCATTTTTCACAACTACTACAAGTTGGTTAAAGCTTGAACCCAGTGTGTATGTGGTAACAAGTCAGATGAAGTGGAGTAACAGGAGCAATCTAATGATGGTCCTCTACTAAGGCTGCCTGGTGCAGCAGGTATTCATTCCAGGGTCACATGGTGCAGTCTCAGCTTTCTGACTTCCCCCCCTATATTTTAGCTAAGTTTAGTTAAGAATCAGATTAAACACAGAACACTGGGGAGACAGATTGTTGCTTACATGCAACTTGGTGAAACTTGTGCCTGTACTTGGTTATTCTTCTAGAGATTAAAATATTTTACAGACTGAAGAAATTAGGTAACATGAAGTAGTTGCCATTAAATTTTTATTGGACTTCTTGTTAGAAAGGAATATTCAATAAATTCCAGTTTCACCATGTTTATGTATCAAGTAAATTCCTTAGTTTCAAAAGCCAAAAATCTTATCATGAAGAGGGAACATTAATATGGAGAGGACCTGGATGATGTGTTCTTCCAGTTCAAACTTCTTTACTTCCTGAAAACTAGGACTCAGAAGCTTAGTTAATGAACGGCATACGTATTTTTCCACACACTTTAAGATTCATTCATTAGTCTGTTTTTATGTGGTGTTGCCTCTGAGATAATAGGAGGTTATATTTTCTTTCTAGTTCATATTTTTCATAAAATAATTTGTCTAGAAAAGTTGTGTAACTTTTTAAAATACCTGTAGTCATGGAAAGATTGACTGATGTTTACAAGATTTTTTTTGTTAAATAAAATGCTGTCTTCACAAAGGTTGGTAAAACAGCATTGTCTGTTTATGCTTTACTTGTTCCACAGCTTACAGCCCACACTGCTTCTCTGCTTCTCAGAACTGTTTCACAACCAGATTAAAGTGCAACTGTGCCCTGCTTAAGTGATTCCATTAATTAAACAATTTATTTAATTAATATATGTAGTCAGTTGTGGGGTGGTTGGTTTGGTTTGGTTTTTTCCCCTTGCTAAATAGTTACTGGGAAAACACCAAGGAATAGCAGCACTACCCTAATGGCTACTGAGGAGAAGACTAGAAGACTTCATACCAGTGTCTGACTGCTTGATACAACAGGTGATGGAAAGCAGAAGGTGAAGCTTACTGCTCTCACATTAAAAAAAAAAAAAAAATTGCCTTGGAAAAATCAGAGCGCTCTACACTAGAACTCTGGTCTGTAGGTTTTATGAGAAACTGATAAATTTAATATATAAATATTTCAGAATTTGTATTACTATTTACATTCATATGCTAAAAATACTGTGAGATAGATAATTGTGAAATTGCGAGGTCTTCTGAAGTGGATGATCCGAGCTACAAAATTCTAAGAGAAGGCCAGAGGGCTTTATAATAAAAGTCTCCTTCCTGTAGCAGTCAAGAATCATGAGTTGATACTTTTTATTTTTTAATTTGGGTTCAGATTTTCCAGTAGCTAGTTGCCTGCTCTTGTGTCTTAAATAAGACACAATTCTGAAATACAGGGTGTATTCCATCCTGAACTGAGAAAAAGTGGTTGTAGTTTTAATAATTACTGTAATACTTCAGCACTAAAAATCTTTGTTAAATCCTATCTTTAAGTAAATAAATTGGATAATGGGTGGTTTGACTCAAGACATTTGGAAGTTAGTCCTTTTGAGAGTTGCATAGTTTTCTTACCGTATTACTGATTTCCCATGAGTGTTTCCCTTCCAGTAATAAATACAGCCTTGTCAGCTTTTTAGGTGACGTTAATTCATAGCATGTTACTGTTCTGCTTAATGTAATAACATCTGGAATTGCAAAGCAGCAAACAGGAGAGCCAGAAAAAATGACTATCAAGAAGAGGTTTCTGATTACTCTTTACTGTTATGTAAGCACATGCATGAGCTTGAACTTAAAGAAAAACAGATTATGCAATACAATACTGTAAGTAGGACCAGGATCATCATTGCAGCTTGTCCAAGACAAAGCTTGCATCTTCCACTAACTACAGAAGATGGTCCATGTGGCTCTCCTAATAATAGAGGGAACAAAAACAGCTAGATGTGAAATAAGGTGCGATTATCTGAGATTTTGTTCATACTTCATAATAGTATGGTAATAATACATTAGTAATTTATAGATAGACATAATGACAAAAATATACTTCAGTAAGTAGCTAAATAAAGGATTACTGTTGCTGTAGTCCTACAATGTATTTTAATCATTTTCCAAAAATTAAATGCTTGTGCCTGAAAATAAGAACAGGAGGTTATAGATTATAGCTTTATATGCTTAGTAGGTATTTTGTTAATGACTGTGATGTTACACAATACGCTAATTTGCACTTTTAAAATAACTTTGTTTTAGACACATTACTAGGTTAAACCACATGCTTAAGTAGCTGACTGATCTTACAGTAAGAGTGAGATTTAAAAAGAAGTGAGCTGCAGTACCTTGGTAGCCTAGTATACAAATTCCACAACATTTATATAGTTGATGTCTTTGTATAAGATAACTTCAAGAATATACAAACAAATGCTCAGAAATTCTGAGCTTCTATATACATTACAGAGCTTCTGAAGACTTTACAGATGTTAAAGTCACGTTAAAGTCCTGATTTTCTGGACTGGAGAATTAAAGCTGAATGAATCTTCTTCTGTGTCAGTTCTGCTCTCAATGCTCGTAAATCTGCTGCTGCCTGCTTTCTCATCTGCAGAAAAAAAGTAATTTAAGGAATTGCAATTTAAGGAAGTTTTTAGAGTTGACATGCATATAGGTTTATGTAACTAGGACTGAATTTTATACAGGATGGCTGAATACAGGATACATCTTTCATCTTGAAAATTTTACATGTCTAATTGGATAGCTTACTTCTAGCACTGCTTTCTTCTGTACTTCACCTTGGAGTTTTTAAGAGACGACTGTGAAAGGCATTATTCTCTCCACTCCTTGTTATACAGTGGAGGAGGCATAACGAGTACATCCACCCTAGATTACCCAGTAAGCAGGGGCATGGGCCATCTCTGTGATGTAGAGGACTCCTATTTCAAGTATTCAAAGCTGAAAAGCTATCCAATGTGAAGGCCTGTGCCATCATCTTCCTTCCAAAGGGAGCCATAGGCAGAACTGGTATGGAATAAAGCATCTGCTTGGAGAGCCAGTCTCTTTTTTTTTTTTTTCCTTTATACCAGGTGTTTGGGTTTTTTCTTAGCCATGGTCATCTACTGATCAGTGCCTCACAAAGTATGCTCCTTCAATTACCTTTAGAGTGAAATAGGAGTTTTATGAAAAAGATTGTGAAGCTTAGCTTACATAGTACCTTGAAAAATCTAAGTGCTTGAATGTGATACATTCCAAAATAATCTAATAACCTGATGTTCTTGAGTAATTTGCCTAAAGTAAGTGGTTAAGTTACAATGATAACTAAGATCATAAAACTAACACCATAAACCAAGAACTGTTTAGCAAGTATTTACATCACCTGTTGTTTGGGAAGATCTAAGGCTTTTTATACATATTTTGACTGTTTTAATTAAAAGGCAGAGTACCTTAATTTCTATTATGAGTTTCATTTTTGTATCATCCAGCTTCCTCCTCAGTTGATCAAGATCATGCTGCACTGTAGTAATCCGGATGATTGTGTAATTCTGTATGAAACAACAACAGCAACAAAACTTTATGTGCAGCATTAGTGCATCTCATCATCCATTGGGTGTTACATCACCACTCAGAAACAATAAACTCTTTCCAACAACTCCCCTGCTTTCTTCCAGTCCTTAATGCATGCTGGGTTGCCTCTGGTTTGTAAGCAGTCTACGCTCCAAGAGAGTGCTGCTCCCTTCAGCTGGGTGCGGAGGTTCTTCCACTCCCTATTGCTTTGGGAAGTTACGAACCAGATCAGATCTCCTGAGTAATAGCACATTGTTTTGCAATTACCTTTTATGGCTACTCCCCGTTTACAATAAAAAGGCATACTTGAAATCATATTTTTTTCTCCCACAGGCTTAGCACCACTGTCACAGTATGTTTATTGATGAGATTGCTACACTCATGATGTTTAGTGCAGATGATAAACTCCTGGTTATACAGCACATCATTTCAGCAGTAGCTGTGGGTGAGCCTATCTTTGAATTAACCTCTAAAACTAAAAGCCATGTTTTCAAAATGTGGGTTCTGATACTCAGACTTACTTGTGCAAGTCAGCTGTGGTCCCTTGAAGTCAATAATGCAATAATGCTGAGGGATGGGGGTGTACGTGGTACTCTCTTAATGTTTCAAGACTTTAAAAATGCTATTAAAGTGCCAGCTGAAGCAAATGATGTGATAAAGTTGCCCACACAAGGAGTGATTAAGTGGTATCTGTAGCCTTTCATCTCTGAGCTTCCACTATAAGCTTCTCCCTTCCCAGGGGTACAAGGGTCCAAGTCCCAGCTCTGACCCGGCACAGTGGTATAACCCTGGCTCAGACCACTGAGAAAGCATGAAAGTTACACAGTCATGCAGGAAAAAAACTGGCAGGGCCATCAGACTAGTTGGGGGCTACTGACGAATCACCATATTGTGGGTGAGACACCAGTGAGGACAAAGCTGGTGGAAGAGGGGAAACCAGCGACAGCGGGAGCTGTTCCCCAGAGCCTGATTCTTCCCCCCGACTGATGTAGCATGTAGCTTACAAGGGGTGAACAGCATTTTTGTGCTTAGCCTTATAGCTCATTAAATCCTAGCTATCTTCTGTGTCTGCTAGCCAATAAATAACTGCTGTATGCATGTTAAGTTGTGCCTATCCTTCACATAAGGCCTCTGTGCCTAGCCAGACACACCTAAAAAAAAACCCCACATCTGACATCTCCCCCAAAGGAGCAATAACATATCTGAACATAGCTAGTAATCTAATGTAATATCAACCCTGTATTTATATTGTAGACATTTATATTAAGATAGCTCAAATAATACACATTCATATATAATATATACTCTCCTACCTTTCATATACAAGAAAGGGACATTTATTTTTTCTAGTCTAGCTTCAGATTTGCCAACAGACTTGCTTCCATTAACGCATTTGGAAAATTAGCAGATACAACTATTGGGAAGGGTGTTTCCTCCTTTTTTTTTACCTTTTCTTTTTTTAATTCCTCTCTGAACTTCCCATGATTTGACTCCACCAACATCCCATGAGACTCACAGTTGCACAATAGTTCAGGTGCAACTACTCCAAAAGCCTCAAGAGACACGTGTGCCCAAACACAGCTAGAATTCATTACCTCTGTACGTGAAATTTGGGATGATGACAACAACATAGACCTTAACAATTAATCATACTGAACAAAAAGGGATTTTGTTATGACAAAGTATTGTACAAACACAAATGCTCAGACCTGAGCACTTCTTCAGTCTTTTTGAGAAGAATGGGCGAAGTAATGCTATACCTCAGATCACTGTGGGATATTTGGCTGTTAAAAGCCAGTTTACAAGTCATTGGTTGGTGATGAATTTGTTACTTTAATTTGTATTTTATACAAAAAATAGGCTGTGTAAAAAAGATTAAATAATACAAGCACATACCTTGGAGTCTGCCATATTGTTTGGTTGTTTTCGGCTATCTCTGGCTTCCAATTGTAAGAGTAATTTCTGGTGGTAAAGCTCTAAATCTTGTCGCAGTTTGTTTAAAGCGTCCTCGAGTGAAACTGTAGCTTTCTTAGTTTCAAAGTACTTCTTTTTCCATTCTTCACGAACTATACAGGAAAACAGTAACACTGTTTGGTCCTGTTCATATTATTGTAAGGTCTGTTGAAAACAGTAATGACCAACCGATCTCACAAGATTCAGTTGGCTGACGCACACATTAAAACATGGCAGTAGGTTTCTTTTAAAAAAGCAGTTAGTGAAAATCTTCATTAAAATGACATTCACTATAAATGCAACTGAATTTTCACACAGTCGTGCAACAAAAGGCTCTACCTGTCCATCGAGATACAACACAAGGTTGTAACTCTGCAGGGCCAGAGATTTTGAACAGCTTACTTTTATATAGAAGTCCCAAGATTATGGGAAACATTACCTTTGTACTTAACTGTGATTCTTCCTATGTTGTTAATGTGCCATCAACAGCTGGCACATAAATCTCCCTGTATCTAGTGTGGCAGTCTTATGGCCACATACGTCCACTAATCTGCAAAGTATCATAAATGATTCCTTCTTTCAAGGCATATGTTAGAAAATCAGGACAACTGCTTCTCAGAAACTTACCAAAAGAACCCAGCTGTTAGAGGACTGTACAGTATGTAACAGAGTGATTGTCAGCATGGCAGTCTTAGGCAGATATTAAATAGAGACTAGATCATTGTTCCTACAGAATACGCTCTTTCCTTCACACCTTGTGAAGAAACATGTTTAAATGCACTTATGAAACACTACAGGTCTGATAAAAATAAATCGGAGGTAGAGACGCTGCTTAAAGAACCTGCAGAAGCTGTTTGAATCTTTGTGAAATAACCTTTATTTTACCTAAATGGGTAACATAATTTAAGACAACACAGGAGCCATTTAGGGCTTATGTCAGCAGGGTAAATTAGTTTGCCTTGCAGCTCCATGCTACTACAGATTCACTGCTTCGAGTACCCAAGTTTGTTTATTTTAAAATACAACTTCACCATGCTGCAGAGTACAGTGCAGCCATGCCCTTAGAGAATAACTGAAAGAATTGGCTTGTCTTCTCCTTTCAACAAAGCTACTAATAATAGTTGAGACTCCTAGTGATTTAGCTGTATTTAAGTACAAAGAGAATGCTCCCAAAACATCAAAGTGATTAAACCTCATCTCCGTATAACTGGAATGTGACTTAGGGATGATACTTTAAGTATAAACTTGAAAATAATTTTACAAAGAAAATTTGGGTGGGATTTCAGTGGGATTTTACCTTGTTAAAAAACAACATTTGTCAAGCTTGTCACAACAGGCTTGTAACTTCCATGCCATAAGCTGAATACCATTAGATAGGAGGAACAAAAAGTACTATGCTGGCAATTTGACTAGAAGCCCTATCAACACAGTAAAAACCTCTGTAAGCACCAGCTACAGGCAGGTTTAGATTATGTCAGCAGCCCTGGGCCTCAAACAGCAAAGCAGCCTGCAGTAGCTCTCTGGGCACTGTACGTACATGGGACACAACTTGAATGGTTTATAAAAGCCAGGATATTTTTAGATTTGTAAGACTGCCACAAAAAAAGTAGACGGAAACATTGCAACCTTTAATCCTTCCAGCACACTGTTGTACAAATGAGCCTTCTCAGAGCTATTGGTTAGCAAACTGCTCTCTAAGTAAGCTCACTGACAAGGAGACAAACATTTTCACATTGCTTTCAGTGTCATTTCTCAATCACTCCAAATTCCAAAATGAATTAAAAGTGTACCGTGGTATCTCCTCAGCTTATTTTGTTCCAGTAGCCCTTTAGCTTTTTTGATCAGTTCTTCTCTAGTTTTTTCCATGTGCCTTCTGTCTTTCTTTGTTTGTTGCAATTGTTCTACCATCTTGTTTTCTAAAGATATTATAATTAGTTTTAGTAAGCATCTGGATACTGTAAGTAGGAAGGATCAATCAAGATTTTTGTAATGCACCCATCATAAATCATGCCAAAAGCTCTGTCAAAACAGGCAGTAGAAATTCTTTTATTTTAATAAACTATCTCTAACTTTTTGAAATGGCTGGTGCTTAGAAAAAAGTGAGAAATCCAGCATGCATCCTGGCATTCATATACACACAGACAAGTAAACACCCTTTTATATGCCTAGACAATGTATCACTAAAACTATCTATTCACAATACACATACATACTGCATACATTGAAAACTCTTGCCACACGAAGCCAAAAAAGCCTCCAAAAGACTACTTCCCGCTCAAAATACTTTGGGATATAACCTGTAATAAAATCTGGCCTTAAACTCCAGCTGGTCATAGGCAGGACAGTATCTCAGACTTTCATTCATCTGCAACAATAGGTCAATCACTTATCTTCTCATTATCCTCCTCCTCCACCTCAGTGGAGGATCCTCAACAATACTACAAGTGTTTTTCTTTGCTACATTCTCACTTGAGCCAGCAGTATTTCATCCAATCTCCCTCCTTTTCTCCTTCAGTCCCCAAGTCCATAAGCTACGTTTTCTAACACTGGGAACTTGCCATGCTCTATGAACAGCCCATACAATTATAAATCCCTGGAATTTTCCAACCACAAATTAAAATTTTGTAACAATACTGTGAATGAATGTACAAATTCTTTCATAAAGTAGGTATTTCTGTCTTCATTAGCTATTCCATCTTGATTAAATGTTCACTTCCCTGCAATTTCTTGGGATTAGATACTCACTTGTTACCTGAATTGAAGGAACTTGAGCTGGATTTACAGAGAGTGCCATAAAAGGTGGACTAGGAGATGAAATGTATTCTTTCGGACAAGTAAGATGATCTTGCTTGTTTTCATCTGCCTATAGAGTCAAAAGACACAACTATAAGTACATAACTCCTAATCCTGAATGGTTACATTAGACACATGCCCTGAAAGTGGCCTGAGTGAATGGGAGGGATGAATTTGAATTCTGCATATATTTTTTTTTATTCTGTTACCAGTACAAACGATTACTAAATTACGAACAGCTGGACCTCTGCAAATAAAATCAGGACACTGAACACTTACACTGCAGAGAACATACAGGCAAAAATGCAGACTGTCGCTCATTGTTCTTGTCCATGTCCATAACCCCACAGGTTACTGACACCCACACATAACCAGGAATAACGGGCCTTAAAACTGCCATCTGGCTCATTGCTTACGAAGCCTTGACTGCCAATTTCTAAACTAAAATTTATAATAGGAGATTTTCAATTTCACTATTATTTCCCTAAGACTCCACTACAATCATTTCTGCATGAGAGCTTACAGGCAATGGTTAATAGTGATAGCTATTATGCTGTATGATTGCATGGGGGTGCTGAGTCTTCCTAAATATGTACTTATTCTGATACTATATTATACATATGTTCTAAAGGATTTTATAGGGTTTATCAGAAGTTTTGCTTGGCTTGAGAGAAGACAAATTTATCCCATAGGAAATATGAAACGATAAAAATTTCATCAATAAACCCAATAAAATGTTACTGCCAAGAAAATGTAAAAAAAAAAAAAAAAAAAAAATCAGCTACAATTAATAAGTCTGAGATAGTTATGGTATATGTAGTTCCTGTTAAATTATCACAGAGGTATAAGTTCTGATGATTTCATTGTTTAGAAATATAGTTGATTTTTCATTAGCAAATCTGCAGAGTAGGAGTGCATGAATTAACTTTTCTCACTCTCAAACCTTCAGTTGAGTATTTCATATTTCTAATGAGTTACCTGTCTTATAAGATTAGACTGTTTCTAGGTGGAGGACTATATTTATTGCTCCATATTACTAAGAATATGTTACCTTGAAAAAACACACCTGATTATCCAGTTTTTCACCAGGATCAGCTATAGACTTGCTAGTTCTGTATTGCTGCAAGCTAAAGATAAAATCAAAGAAGCAAGTGAAAATTCATGTAATGATATGTTTTTTCCCCATTTTCTTTCATTTATTTGAAGTCCATAAAATAAATTTCTAGCTATGAATTAATATTATCCGTTATTTTAGTAGAATCATTATTTACTAACCTTTGGTTTTTGCGTACAAATTCTGTAGTTTGGTCTCCCATTATTTTAAGAATTCCAGCATCCTGTGTTCTGTCTCTTCTTAGTTTGGTATCTTTTTGGTGGTCATTATTTTCCATGTTTGTTAATTCTGTGACAGGATAGTGATGATCAAAATATACAGATTACACTTACAAAATTCAAGCTGTTTTAACTGTCAATGCCTGGACTTTCCAACCTGTATTAGAAATTCAGTGAATGAATCCAATAAATAATGTTATCTCTGGGGTGTGGAAATATTGTGTGAATAACAGAGGAAAGAAATAAAGGGAAAAAAAGGTATTTTTATTTTGAGAATTTGTATCTAACTAATTCCTGTAATTTCTGGTACAAGAAACATTATCAGAGATAAGGAAACCATTTAATTATTTCATCTTCCCTAAACTAATTCCATAACTAACAATTTCTGCCTTTCAGAGACTGAAGATCCCCTACAAACTGGAGCCAGCAAAGAAAGGGAGAGCAAACTGTTTATGATATTAATTTTACATTTATGTTTAAATGTTAATGAACAAATGTTATCAGCTTCAAACTATATACAATAAATATTTCAAAAGAAAATTGCTGACAGACTTTACCTTTACTGCTACAAAATCCTACATCCTTCACCATTCAAAATAAAGTTATGGAAGAATTTTCAGTTATTTATTTACGTATATATATTTGTATATGTATGTATATTTGTATATATTAATGTACATCTCATACTTAATATCAGTTAACATGATGATGGAGGGACAAAGCTATTTTTGACAGATTATGACTGGAAACTGAAATTACTGAAAAGTCATCCATGAATGCCTTTTCTAATACACTCTCCAGACACATCTTGAAGAATACAATATCCAAATTTTTGTTTTCTTACTCAAAGTGCTGGATATCCAGAAAATCATTCTAAGATCTGTAAGGTGCCCATACCTATGAAAAATTCAATATTGTCTCATTTAATAATTACTCACTAAAAATTTTCAGTAAAGGTCACCTTTTTTACATTAACTGCAAAATTCTACTTAAATATTAAGACTTCTCTTTCAAAAGTATTTCCTCGAAAACAATTTATGTTATAATTTTGATGCTAATATAGCAGTATTCATTCAAATCCAATTTAAATGTGCCAGTCCTTTCTTGGTAATCACTAAAAAATTAGGAATATTAAGAACATTATATAACTGTTCAAGGACTTAATGACCCTCAGTATCCATTAGATACCTCATTTTAAAGGAAGTAGCAGTTAGTAGATCTCTTCCAAACAACTTTTCTATTTTGGCACAGAACTATTATCTAGTTTTATGTGTGCTTTAAACCCCTCCATACTTTTGTACTATTTTCACTGTAGTCTGCTCAAAGAGTTCTCTCACTTCTCCGTTTTAGGAATGTCACTGTTCAATAGCATATAAATAAACTTTATATAGGAGGGAGGGAAGGGAACACTTCTTCTTCAGTAGTAATGTAGCTATGGATAAGATGACAATGAAAGTTGGAGCGAATAAATGCCTTCCCTGATACATTGATAATAAGATTTTTTTCATTGAAAACTGCTGTTGAATTACAGGATCATTATCCTCCAATCTTCATGGTAGCTGCTTAGTAATGTTTTTTCATATAAACAAGATTAGATAAATGCATCAACTATAGTAAAGTGTTTCCCTATATAAGTACACAGTGATAAAGGACTCAAAGTAAAAACTCAGCTCTTTGAAAGGTATTATTCTTACTTAAAAAATTAGAATACTGTTCTGATAGCAAATCCCAACTCATGCTTTAACTATAGTTTTTTTAAAACTTAGCTTTACTCTGCCAGCTTTCTAAAAAGCATGCTTTAGCAAAAAGATGACAATGAACAGTTGTACCCTTTCGATACTTAATATGATTTTGGGGTGTTTGGTTATTCTGGCCTTGTTCATCACTGTGGTTTTCATGGAGAGTAAAAGCAGTTTCTTTGGCTTTGTCATTCCACTTAGGAGTGTGATGCTGGTTTTGGTCTTGGCTGAGACCATTTTGCTGAGAGGTCTGGAATACCATATCGCTCCTTCCAGACTCCCAATCTGCAGGATTTGAATGGCCTGGTGTGAAAAGAGATCCACTGGATCCATTTTGATCTGCATAATAAGTGATATTAGAAAACAGAAATATTATTTTATTGTAAATGTTAATCATAATATTTATTCTTCTCCTTCATTACCCTCCTTCACTATATTGGTTAAACTTACCTTTTTCTCTAAACTGTGTCTGTTTTGCTTGAATCGCTTTGTTATGGTCTTCCTTATGTTTTGTGTGCAAAACTGGAACAGGGCCTTTCTCACCCCATTCCACAGGACTGTGCACTTCCTGGTTTTCTAGCTGATGACTGCTTTGTATGCTTTCTAAAAATTGATTGTTTTTTTCAGGTTTTGGTTGGGGAAGACTGGATAATCTTGATCTATGACCAAACCTATTAGCTTCTGCATTAAAGTGATGTTTTTGTTGAGTTGATGATGATGATAATGGATAAACATCTTCAAAGTATTCCACTCCAGGTAATAAATATAATTCAGGATAAAGTGCCTAAAATATGCAGTATATTCATCAGACAAAAGAGGAAATGTGCAACATAAAAAGTTTCTGAAAACAATACCTTAAAAGCCATTCAATACATACATGAGGAGGAACAAATGATTCCAGTTCCAGTTCTGTTTCTTGCTTTGCTTTCACCTTGGAAGATAAAGAATGGAAACGTAACCAACAAAATACTTTTTTTATCAATAAGGTTGCATACCTTTTAATTTCTACATTCTATCATCATCTTTACATACTACTTTTTTTTTAACCAGCACTATCTTCTGTAAGGGCCTGATGGGGAAGAAGGAACATAGGCCAATAGTCTATTTTGTGACATGGCACCGAAACTTTATCTATTTTTCAAAATCTCAGTCAGACCCACATGAGTACATGGATGTACTGAGTATTTTTTTTACCCTATGCACTTTCTCTTATGGTTCAAAGGACCTGATCCAACAGTCACAGCAGAAGAAAGTCTTAGATTGTCATTACTAAAAGTTGCTTCAAGCTGAATCTGAACAGAAATGCTGAGTCTCACATAATTTTCTCTGTTCAGCTGACACAATACTGCAAAATATTTAATGTATATAGGAAAAAAGAATCTATTACTCTCCTATGTCTTTTTGTATTTATTGTTTGCCTTGATATTCTTTGTGTGATACGCACTTTCAGATTTCAACAGTCATCCTAAAACCAAATGTCTGAGATAATCAATGTATATTTGAAAGATGTGCTCCAACAGAAAAAAAGAAAAAAAAAGGAAATCTGAGCTTACATTTAAATAATGAAATTGAACTAAACATGGGGCCAAATTCTGTTCTCAATAATGGCCAGGCAATGCCATTGATTCACTGTTAGACACACAGGCTACATGCAGGAAAAGGAAGAGCAAATGAACACAATTTTGGTTTATGTTTATTTTTCATTTAGAGACCCTTACTTGCAAGTGGGGTACAGCTCTTAGTGCTGCTTACATTGCTACTGTTGTGAAACAGAAGACTGGGGCCAGGGCGGGGGGGGGGGAGAAACTACTCAACAAATATTTGATCATAGAGATGTAATTCAATGAGGTTACCATGACCCTAAATAACAAATAAACCAGTTAGTTGGTTTATTGCTTTACACTTTGTTATGAAGTTAAACATCAAGCAACAGTAAATACCTCAAGTTAAAATTATATCTTTAATTTGTCGCTAAAAATCTTCACTTGTATCTACCAATATCTTTAATTCTCTATTAAAGTAAAATATTTTATTAAATTCCTGACATTCTAAAGGAAGCTGGAAAATTTCTCCATTTATCTCAAAACTATCAGTGGGGAAGAAAATTTACCATCTTACTTATTGTTATGCAGTTAAAACCACCTCAATTCTTTGAAGACATATGCACATTTTTAGATTCAAGTTGTGTCACAGTCTTTCTTTTCATATTTTCCACCTAGTTTTTGCACATTACTTAGTATTTATTCTACTCTTCTGCGTGGGTAGTTTTAGTGATAACTCAACTACAAATGAAATAAAGAACAGCACCAATTTCCAGCTTGTGATTAATTTCCAAATCAGTGAGAAACAGAGGTGAAATGAGAAGTGAAAAAAAGTATTCTATACTTATGTACATAACTTAAGTCCTTGTGTATTACACAAACAAACTTTCAGTTGGACTGATTTACAAGTTTATTTAATCTTTAGCTGTAGTTTGTAAGATATAAAAATATAGAGAATCAGTGTGAGGAACAGTTATGATTCAGAGATGTAGATTTTTGATTACATAAACCTCAGGCTGTATTACTGGATTAATTAGTGGAACACACATGTACACCCAGAGAAGTTTCCATTCAGAGACTTTACAGGCTTTTGGGCGGGTCACAACAGGAACCTTTAGAGGAACTCTGACTTACTCGGCTTCCATTGCAAATTCAAGTGCCATATTCCCAACCATGTACTGGTAATAATGACCTTAGGGTTTGGGGTTTTTTTAAATGCAACCAGATTTGCTATATTTAATCCACTGACTTAGCAAAACCAGCATCTTTTCACTGGATGGCAACTAATTACATCTGATGCTTTAAAGGATGTTTCTAATATACCTGTCCAGCTGTGCCTTTGTATTTGGGGAAGTAGATGTGCTCTGACAAGAGCTCATACTCCAGCATGTTTAAAAACAAATGCTTACAGTGCTCCTAAAGTTATGTCTGTTTTCTTCTGATATTATCTAACCTGCAGGAATTAAATCTGTGGTTTACTTTATAAAGCAGAAGAGCACTAAAGAAAAAACATATTAACTTACCACTGCTAGTTTTTTCCCAATGCATTTTAAAAATTTGAATTTATCTGCAACTGCAACTCCACCCAGGTACTCTCCAAGCTTCTCCCGTAGCACTCTTAGTGTGATGTGAGGAGACACCCTAGAACGTTGTTATTCATTAATACATCTGTAAGATGTATTAATGATCAAATAATGATGGCTAGTTAGTAAGAGGGGGAAGATAATGCTGTATTCATGCTGGCTTGCATGGACAGAATGACCAAAAATGGGAACTATGTCCTGGAACTGAACCTAATTACATATAGGCCAGAGAGCCTTGGGATGGTTGAGTCAGAACCTTGTATTACATTATGGTGGACTGTATTACAAGGGCTGTCATAACATTAACTAGCAATATTCATATCTTAGAAACCCCATACAAAGGGAGAATATGGAAGGAGCTGAAATTTGAAAATGACTCCTTCAGAACCCTCTTGCTCATCTGCAGATGAGTAACAAAAACACTGGAAACTACAGCCATGCATTTCCATATAGGGGACAAATTTTCATGGGGCCGGTTCAGGACTGTAGAACATACCCTTTCAAGCACTAAGGGCTAGAGGAGACTTCATCACTGTCCACTTTAAGTAGCAGGCACATTCCTTTGATTTTGTCTTCTCTGACACAAATTTACAGTTGGGTGTGTGCGTGTGTACATGCAAATGTATTTTAAATCAAAACCAAACACTGCAGCTTGAACATTTCCACCATAGTTTGAGGATGAGAGACTTGATGCAAATATGAATTGCATCATTTAATGTACTACTGGAAACCATGCAAATATTAAAGTAATGAGCTCAGTGTAAAAATCACCATAGAATAAAAAGCATCTCTGCAGAATAAAACCAAATGTGCAAGAGGCACACAAAAGCTCTGCAGCACAACATAAGCAATTCTAATTGCTCCTATGCTGCCATATAAAATAAACCAGGGAACAAATTCAGGCCTGAGACTGTTAATCACCCATGCTGATTGTTAGTGTGCTACCTAGCATGATTTTGGCCCAGGCAGCTATCACTCTTCAAACAATGCACAGACATAGCCTGGGGGACAGCACATGCCATTCTCAGTAAACAGTATAAACAAGAACATACCATCCCTTCAACTTGGACAGGCCCTCAGCATGAACCTGTCAGGGGTTTTTTGCACTCTCAAACAGCCCTATATGCCTTCATTTCACACCCTAAGTAAGAAGTAAAAACAGCCTCAGTTTCATTTCATAAACTCAGTACTTCAGTGGGCTACAATGCTTCCGTTGCATTATTGCAGCACCCTAGACATGGCAGACCCTCCTCAAGACCAGAAATCTGCCTTGGAGCACAGGCATGCAGCAGAGGAGACCCAAGTCTGCAGAGTAGACACATCTAGGCCACACTGCTTGGTCCCTGTACATTTAGCTCCTGTTTATTTCTTCCCCAGCCACTTTTTGCCCACACTTGCTGCAGATATTAGCCCTAATGTCATTTATTTCAAATGTATAAAGAAATATGTGAAAAATGGATACATAATTCAATACACATCCTTCCAAAGTCTTACGTGAGAACAGAGCTGATCTATAATTCAAATATCTCTCATTCACTATCATTTCTTCAAGCTGATGTCTCAAAAAGATATGCCCCTTGAATGGTTTTCTGAAACCAAATATATGCAAGCTCTTTCAGAGGCAATTCTAACTGCACATCCTTTACTGACAATGCCCTCCCAAACCAGCATGGAAATCTAAATCTAATGCATGTATGAACAGCAGGGAAAGCATCTAGGTAACTATGATGTATCATGGGAGAACATTATTTAAGTATACAGAACCTGAGATACAGAGCAGAAAATTTACCTGAAAATTGTTTGCCAGTGCAGCTGCCAGGAAAATATAGTAATATATTTCTTACTTGCTGCCACTGGCTAGCAGAAGACTAGTCACATCTGAGTCATTTGCTTCAGGGTGTTCCTTTAAAAGTAATGCAAACTAGAGTTCATTGCAGCAATCTCATCTAGAAATAACAAAAGTATGGCTTCTGTGGTGAGGAATGAGGAATAAATAAAAGATGACAGGGGCTGAGAAATCAAGTTCATGGGAACAAGAACTGAAACCCATAGACAATTACACACTTAATATTTTCCTCTAATTTTATGATTAATGGAAGTGGCCTGTACTTAGACCTAGGAATCCTTTGTTAAGCTGACTCGGACAATACTAGGATTGTCAGGCTGACTGGACAGTGCTATCAACAATGTCCAAACAGCAGAAGTACCAGCAAGGCTGCTTTCCTTCTCCTGGATTATAAGAGAGAATATTTTTAATCTTTTTTTTTTGTTTTTAAAGACAGTGATACACTGAATGGGTGCTAGTTATTGCTAATGTTAATGCACTGCAGCATTGCATAGTACCCGTAGAATAATTAATTAGCAATTATTTACGATTCATTAGCAAACAACAAATACCCAGACAGATATAAACCCACTGAAATCAATGAAAATCCTAATTTGAGTTAATCCCTCAGAACTGAGCCTTAGTGAAATAAATTTACACTACAGAACAAAGGACAGTGACATGAAATGATTTGAAGTTACCACTGCAGACAGGTATTTTGCACCTCTGCTGGAGACTAGTACAGCAAACAAAACAGATACACTTACTTCATCTTGGTTTGAGAAACATTTCAAAAAAAAGAGCCTGTGAGATTGAATACATTCTGCTGTACGTGCTCATACCTGACTGCTGTCAATCTTTTCAGCTATACAGTATATTGTCTTAAGTGGACAAGCCTAAATTTAAACAAGTTAAAACCCATATTCCCTGCTATTTAAACTAAATTAACAGGTTTTGCACAAGAGCAGACAAGGCGCATGTAAAAGCTCCATTTCAACACACATCTTTACATTATTTGATTTTTCTGAAACTTCTTACCACACTAGATACACACAGATTTTTAAGTGTTTAGGAGTATAAAACAAACTTTCAAAGTTATGAAGGATTAAAACTGCAACTCTGTGCCAGGTTTGGGCCTAGGACTGGGAACCGGGGTATCCTTTCAGGAAGTCCTCTAAACAGCTACCTGAGAGCACACATAGCACACGGCATTGTGGGCAACCTTTCAGAAATACCACTGAAAATGAAAGAAGATATGCTGGTGCTTGCATGGGCTATAATGCTTCCCCTTGAGAAACATGGCTTAAGCTCATTCTTCACACTGAGCTCAGATCATCATATCCCTCTTCCTGGGAAGTGTCAGACTTCCCTGTGTTCATCCAGCCACTCTGTCTTGAAGCTGGCCCATTGCCGAAAAAAAAATTTCAAGATTTTGATAATCAGTCTCAGGCAAACAGAAGGAATATAAGACTGTGATTTTACAATATAAATTATTCTGCAGAAATACTAGCATTGCTCTGGAAGTACATTTCAATGGTCTATATGACGGGCTGCCATGGAGCTAAGCCTGATACAGTCCAAACAGACATAATGCTAGTCATGGGCACCACTTCCCTCCAGAAATGATTAGAGAACAAGTCTCTTCCAACAAATTGTGCTCTGTGGAACAACAGCTGGACTAAATGACTGAAGGACAATGTAAATGACCTACCACGTACATGAAGCCTAAGACTATACCCACCTTATAAATCCAGCTGAGATGAATTTGCTAGTAAGAGATACAGGAACTGTATTCAGCTTGAAGTTCCACACTTCTTCTGGGACATAAAAAACATGGAGCTCCACCAACTAAATAAAGAACAGATGATCATAACTGTAGATATATTATAACCCTTTTCCTACATGCTTTGTTTTGCTTATGTGGACTTTCAATTTCTGGAGGCAGGAATGGTTTCTTTGATGTTAGCACATGGACTAGAAAAGTGAGGGTCTATCTGACAATGATGACTAGATAGTGAGACTACCGGTGAGTAGAGCAATTTGTGATTGAATGCCAGCTGACAGCATCAAAATAAGTCACATTAGAACAAGCTCAACACTGGAAATGAGAGAAAAGAGAGCCTGTGCTACTGCTGTATGTCACTGTGATGGCAATGGACAGAGCTTACCAAAACTAGTTGATACTCCAGAGCACGTCATGGTTACAAAAATACTTCCGCTCAAATCCTACCCTTGTTCATCTCATAAAAAGTGCAAAGCCCTGAAAGCTTGATCCAAACAGCACCACAAATTGACCTCACCATCAAGAAAAAAATAAAATATTTCTGACAGTTGTTATTAATATTAGCTGCACGGGAAGTGCATGAATGTGCCTGGTAATGTATGACACAAGAGTAACTAAGCCTGCTCTAAGCAAGGTTCACTTAGACTGTGTTCAAACCTGTGGCAGTTGTGGGACTGTTAATGTCTGGGTCTTGATATTTTTAGTGACAGTCAGATGGTATTGACAAGGATGATAAACTTCCCTCTAACTAGAAGCCATACAAATAATCTATATTAAATATTTCTGCAATTGTTGATTTAATAAATATAAACCAGAAAAGAATGCTTTCTATATATACTATGTTAAAAGCATAGGGTTTTTTCCTCTCATAGAAATAGTGCAGTGTCACTTATTTTAATATTTTTTTATTTGTGAAATCTAAAAAATCTCTATGGAAAAGTACAAAAACTCTCACCTGCGATGTTCGAGGTCTTGTTTGACTGAACGACATGTCGTTCCCTGTGCTTGATCACAGTGAATGCCAGGTGGGCTTTCTAATTTTCTTTTTGATCGGAACATTCTTTAAGGATGAGTTTCATGATAATCTGCTACGAGAGAAGTTACTCCATTAATATCCTTTAATGTCCTTTATTTTCATTTACTGTTCTTCTTTCCATTTATGAAAATGGAGAAGTTGTTTCTGTGCTGAGCCAGAAAGTTTCCAGCTAACTGCAAACAGACTCAACCACACCTTCTACACAAGTGAGTATCACCTAAGTAACTGGGGGAATTGCTAAACCACAGCCCTGCAGCTCCGAGGGATCTGCCCTGGAGTATTTCCTCTTAACGTTTTCTCACCTTTCATAAAAATACTTTGGTTGTATGTAATTTTTCTACACAATTGTATTGTCTTCCTAAAGACACAGACCTAAATCCCCACAAAATGGGAATCTTGCAAGGTCTGGGTTTATCTCCGATAAAGGGACGGTTATGGTGAACTGAAGC